TGGAACAGAGTTGAGCTTGGCAAAGATACTTAGTATTGCCATTTTCCTTTGTGAATGAAATACTGATCTGCTTCTGAAGCCACCTATGATAAATTAGGATGTACTGTTTTAATATTGTTATGAATACATGGAACAAATCTGTGCAGTGTTTTTTGTAATAAACTAACATTTATTCATTTTAATATAGGCTTAATAACAAATATGTTTCATTATGGATAGTTAAAATCATTCTATAATATTATAAAATGGAAATTATTTCTTTTATATTGAATAAGTGATCGTATAGGAAAAATAATAATTTCATTCTATTCAGAGCTCACCCCCTGGTGTATATGTTTTGAGTCATTCCTAAAGTGAAAGGAAATCCAGTGTAAGTGGTCTTTTGGGCTAGAACAGCTGAATGGCTCTCTAGTGGAAAGCTTTCTGGTTTGCTTCTGAGATGCAGTGGTGGTTCTTCCTGATCTATAAGAAATAATATTTGCTTTGTAGTGTTTTTTCCTGCAAAGTGAATGTTAGATAATGTTATTTTGAGGGTTAGGCTCCAACTTAAGTATTTTCAGGCAAGCTACTCCTGGGGCTGTATGATGTTACAGCCTGGCTTGGTCTGTAAAGTGAGAGAGGGTAACCCATTTCAAGTTGTTTCCTTCTAGATAGATATATTAATATTCAGTTCTGTATGATCAGAATCTTCTTTAAAATCAAAAGAGAGAGTAAAGACAGGAATCAGGCCCAAGATCATATGTTTATGGATTACAAGCAGAAGATGTAGTTGAGAGAGTAACAAAGAACCTTTGACAACATCATTGCTGTGGCTGTCAAGTGACTGAAGAAGTCTTTGCCCTTCAATACTGCTCATCTCCTAATTTTGTTACTCCATGTTAATGTTAAAAATGCAGAAGTTAGGATTTAGCTGGTTTTGTGACTGTACTGATAGGATTTAGTTTTCCATTACAGTAGTGAATTTCTGGAGAAGGATTTTGTATGATAACTCTTTTGTTGCACAAGACTTCATATTTTAATTCTAAGGACTTTTATTGGCACAAAAATTTGGTTAGACTGCCAGATATTTGTACACACCAAACAGTCACTGAACACAATACAGATGGTAATAACTTTTTGCTAATGTGAAAAGAATGTTTTATTTAAAATCTGTAAGGATTACTGAAACTGACTGATCTACTATTCTGAAGGAAGTGTAGGCAAGAAACTAGTTACTGAAATGGTAAAAGATTAGGTATTTTTAGGGGCCCCATGAATTTCTATTCAATCATCAATAGCACTAGTTGTTTTGTTTTGTTAATACTTGTCCCCTATTAATTTATAGTATTGACCAAATGGGCTAAATTCTCAATGTAACAGGCCATTCAGCCCTGTAATTCAAGTTATGGCTGGTGCTCAGTTTCATTTGATGGTAAAATCAGAAGCAGATGTGGATATTCATGTCAAAGAACAGGTTCTTTAAATTTATACTTTAAATTTACTAGTACCATTTAGAGGGCTTTTAAACTGTATTTATGAAGAACCTGATGATTTATGAAGGGACTAGAAATCCTTGTCATAAAAAAAAGAGTAATCTTTATGTAGATGCAGTCCATTAAGTTGGCAGGTGCTGAAGAACTATCTCTGCATGTACTTACAAGTTTAGGGGTTAAACAAGTTTAGGGGTTGAACAAATATTTTAAAATAGATGAACTTTTTCTTCGGGGAAAAACAGCTTTCTGGAGAGAGAGGTTACTCAGAATAGAGGGATGTAAGTCAGGGTTAGAGAAAACAAAAATTATGTGAAATGCTGCACAAATATTGCAGAGAAGAGGAATGGAGACTGATACTTGGACTGTCAGCAGCACTGACAGGCTGGTGGCCTGTCCTCTTGTTCTCACAAAAAGAAAAAAAAACCTAAGTGGACCAGCAGACATAGACAAATTGTTTTATAATAGACTTTTGTCTTCTTTCCCACCTCTTCCTTGCCCTCCCTCCATGCTGAATGTTTCTTTCCCTCCCTTTTGTTTTCCTCTGTTTTTATGCAGCAGGGATTCTGTGTCTAGAGTTACAGCTGCAAGACATGAGGGCCAATCTGGTCGGTCACTTTGTTTTGTTTTGATTTCTAGGGGCAATATGTAGCAATCTTGTCTGTTTGTCTGTCTGTTTCTCTACTCAGATTCCCTGGTGCTTGAATATTCAAGTCTTCTGGGTAGCAGGAAGACATCGTCATGCTCTCTTACCTGTTGGCTCAGTCCGTGTCTGTGTGACAAGAAGTGCCATTCTTGCAGAGGTGGTTGCAGACAGCAGAAAAGATGTTGGCTCTTGCCTTATCTGAGGGTTGTGTAGCCAAGGCATATTTTCCTCTCAAAAATAGTCATTTACTCCTCAAAGATGGTCTTTCACTGATGCTTTCCACTTACACAAACCCACATCTTTTAAAAGGTCTTGGTAAGCAATTTTTCATGGGACCAGGCAATTTCTTGGCAAACTGTTTTGGAGTATCATTCAAATTTCTTGATTACTTGGAAGTTCATGGAGGGTTTGTGTTTCAGGAGTTTCAGAGGGCATTTGCAGCAGTATAATTTTGTAAAATAAAATCCCTGCTTATTTGCTAGTCAGAATTAAATAGTCCTGAGATATCTGTAGTCCTGTCTAGACTCCTGGGGCTCAAGCTCATTTGTTCACTGGCCATGCAGACAGACATGTCTCTGTGTATAGGGAAAATGTGGAAGTATAACTGCTGCTGATTATGAGCGTTAACTGCTGAAGAACCAGGACAATGTGGAGTGCTATCCACTACCTTCATCTGCAAAGTGTGGGAAGCTCCCTATTTATGCACTGAGGGAAACAGTGCTGAAGGATTCTACAGAAATTGCCGTACTTCCAAAATTAAGCTTTGTTCCCCCTTCAATACATGTTATGGCACAATCACAAGTTGAAATAATAATCTGCTAGAGCAATCTGCCTGTAGGTGGGATCTTCAGAGGCTTGCACTGGCAATCTCCATAATGTCTCTTAACCCTGTGTAAGTTGTGGTTTCTTCCTCAGTTACACACATTCCACAATTTGAATGCATTTGGGGCATATTTTTCCACCTTTATTATGTAATTTGCAGATTAATGTTCTTTTTTCAAAGCTCAGAGATGCTGCAGTTGCCAAAACCAAGTGAGTAGGGATGGAACATATGTTTTCCTTGTCTTGTTTTTCAAAAAAGGACCATTTTTACTAAAATAGCTTTAGATGAACATTCTGAGTGGAGAATATCAGCCTGAATATTTGCGAAGTTGGGTAGAAGTTTAAGTTGTTTATATTCTGTTTTAAAATAGCACAGTTAATGGTAAATATATTAATTATACATGTGAATTATAAATAACGTTACTGTCTCTGTCTGCAGTCACTTGTATTAGAGCATCAGTTTCAGAATTCATTTTGAAATTAGGCATTAGTACATTTTTCTTACTGTTTGTCTTCATGTTGCCCTTTGTCTTGTCGTTTTCTTCCTGATTCTTTTCATTCTAGTTTCCCACTTCATTCTGTTTTCCTACTTCATTCTGGTTTTCCACTTATAACTTAAGCAGTATGAGGAACAATAAGTTTGATTTGTGAAGGGTATTTTTGACTGCAAGAGAATCTGGTTTCACTCCCTTTGGGTTTTGCAAACAAGTAGTAATAAAATCAAGCCCAACAGCAAAATATTGCTTGGCAGTCTCTCAGACCACAGTGCCAATGGTATGTGCTTTGATTTATGGTGTGTGTGCTTATTTTTGCATAGTATCTACCTGAAATCAGAGAACTGACAAATCAAAATCCAATTGTCCTAAAATGTGGCCTGGCCTTTATATACCCCTTTACTGAGAAGGGGTATAAAAACTCTGTAGGTTATTTAGGCTGGCCTAGCTAGTAACCTCTTGGATCAGCTGAAAGCCAGATGATTTTACTTCATAAGACTTACATAAAGATTTTGTAATAAAACAGTTCAGCTTGGTTGATCTCTGGTTTTGGAATTTGTGCTTGTTAAGAGTGTCTTAATCACATTTACCGCCTTGTCATACAATGACATGTCTTTTGGAGTATCATTCAAAGGTCTATTAAATGTGGTCTTTTGCATTAATTGTAGCATAGTGCAATCTATTGTTGAAATAAACATGGGCATAATACCTGCTACCAAATTGGAAGTCTGCATCTAATTCTTTCTGCATAAGTTCCCAGAGGATGGAGAAAATATATCTTCACAATCCCCTGCTTTAGGGTTGTGGACAGCACCTGGCCATGATTAGGAAGTCTAGTGCATTGTCAGACTGGAAATGGGCAGGAATCTGTGGGGCATGGTCTCACTCAGGCCATTGTGAACAGTATCATACATGCTTTGTGTGAAGTATTAGGAAGAGCAAGCAGCAGCATAGAAGGAATTAAAGGCATTTTTTAGGCCATGATGGACAATCCAAAGTGATCTTGGCAAACTGTTGTAAGGGAGGAAAGCATCATTCAACAGGGACAAATGGGGAATTTTATGCTGAATTTAAAATAACCAACAGTCCAAATATTTGTTAGGAGAAGCCTTACAATAAATCAGCAGTAGGGTTTATAGTTTATGGATCAAAAAATAATATTGCATTAAAATATGTTAGATTGTATTTCGGGTCTTGCACTAGATTTTTAATGTTTGTAGTACCTATTTAAACTTCAGTCTGAACAAAGTCACTTAAGCTTTCCTCAGAATCATTGTGAATCTGATGCATGGGTGACTTAATCAATCAGCATGAAAAATCTGATTTCTTATGATGTGATGATTTCTGTGGTTGTGTAAACTGTGACCACCTAAAGTGTGACTCAGGTGATTTGCCTTCATCAACCACAGGCTCTATGAGCTGTTTGACCTTTGTTATAGTGGTTGATCTTGCAAGGGCCTTATTAGCTGTATAATTCAAGTTATAGGAGTCATATAATGGAGGAAGTAGTGTACCAACCAACCACTGTCTACCTTTTGCTGAGGTGTGCAATTTCATTTTCTCTTCCAGCAAATACTACGGCATGCCCGTGGAAATGCTACAAAAGTGATTTTTCTCATTACTGATGGCTATTCCAATGGGGGAGACCCAAGACCCATTGCAGCATCCTTGCGTGACCTTGGAGTGGAGATCTTCACCTTTGGGATATGGCAGGGGAATATCCGAGAGCTGAATGATATGGCATCCCACCCAAAAGAAGATCACTGTTATCTTCTTCACAGTTTTACTGAGTTTGAAGCTCTGGCACGCAGAGCTCTTCATGAAGGTATTAATGTCCTAACCTCAGAAATCTACAGGGAGCAGAGAGGTCTGAATAGAAAGCTCTCCAGTACTGTCTTGCATTTACACTTCATGTAGTGTTGATTCTCTTTTTATTTTTCTCCTACTTTCTAGCAGAGGTGTTTGTCCCTCAGTTAAAAGGATAAACTTTATTTGGCTTAACTCATCACCAACAGGATGTGAGAAAAATTCTCCTTACTGATGTGTATACATGCTTACATCCCTTTAGCTCTTCATTTTGTCTATGAAGAGCAGACTGTGCTCTTGGGCCAATGTATCTTGTGCTTGAACAAATGAACCTCGTATTCAGGTACAAGAGGCACCAAGTGTACACTTTAGAACTAGACTTAATACCTTTAGGGTGTCTCACACAGCAACAACTGCCTGTTCAGAACCAATCTAGATCCCTCTCTGTAAGAGTCAATACAGTTTGTGTTTATGACCTTATACATGCAGTAAAACTGGAAAGAGAGTTCAGGCTGTGATTCCTCTTTTAATCTGCTATATCCTAAAAGTTCTTTCTGAAATATAGGGTAGACAAGCAAGAGAGAGCACACAATTAAACATTTGTTTGACAATGCTGCTTGATTGAGGCGTAGAACAGGCATCAGACTAGTCATTTGAATTTATTTGCTATAATTTTTAAAGACATACTACTTTAAAATAACAGTGTGAAATAAGGTTTTCTGGTGCTTTGTTGCCTGCCTGTTTGTTCCAGGTAAGGTTGGATTGGTCTATGTGAATGTGCTGAAGTTTTTTAGTTTATAATGTGACCAAATGGTTTTACATACCATGACCAAATGTTCTCCTGATGCCAAATCGGAAGAACAATCCACCAAAGCTGGGAAAACCTGTCCCAACAGCTTCTGTTGGGAGCGAGACTGCATTCTGGCAGTGTTAGACTCAAACGAGGAGAAAAGCTGAGTGCACCATTGGATTTCAGTGAGCCCTTTTCCAGAATAAGGAGACCAATTTTTTGCATGTGGAGCATAGGTAGGCTCTGCTCCATACTGCCTACTTAGAGCTGGAGCCTAGGGCTTTTGACAAGTGTTTCACTAATGGTATAATGTGAGACTGTGGCATTACTCTTGTTTGAATTCTTGGTTAATAAATTGGTATTATTTCAGACCTGCCCTCTGGCAGCTATATCCAAGAAGATATATCTCATTGTTCGTATCTCTGCGAGGCAAACGAGAACTGCTGTGACATCATGGCAAGCTGTAAGTGTGGCACTCACACTGGCCAGTTCGAGTGTATCTGTGAAAAAGGATACTATGGGAAAGGACTACAACATGAGTGTACAGGTGAGTCTCATGTCTCAGCATTTTCAGGGTTTCTCTGCGTGCTCTGAATGCATGGCTAATCTATCTGAGAGCTAAAAGATCTGTTGAGGATTATGGCTATAAACCTGGATCAGAATGCATCCAAGACTGCTGGAAGACTCTCTGGCTGAAGACGTAGAATAGCTATAGCAGCAAAATTCACCTCACACCTTGTCTTCAGCAATAGCTCAAAGAGATGCACAGGAAAGAGGTAAGAATAGGGCAAATGTTCTGACAAAGTAAAACTTTCCTAAAACACAGCACACCTGAAATTTGTGACTACAAGTTTACAGAGTCTGAGGTAATACCTTTTCCTCTCAAGTGCTCATAGTACATTCTTCCCTCATGAGTTTTGCTGATCACTTTTTGAACTTCCAGAAAGTCTCCTGTTTGGAGAGGGGCTATATATGTGGATCTTTGCAGGAAAAATTCTGGGTGAAACTTACAATCATGGAAATGTGTTTCAATTCTCCCATGATGACTTCCAATTACCATGGAGGAAGAAAACGTTTGAGTCACTAAAGAGAGACTTGTCATTGTGACATTTTGCTAAACTGGTTTTGTTACTAATTTTTGGACAAGTCCTTTTTACTCACATGCATTCGAAGTATGGTTAGAATAACAGTTTATACTTCTTTACAGAAGTTGATCCTTAAAGTTGTATTACATTCCCTGCCAGTTATCACATTGTAATTCTCCTTGTGCCTCTGGAACACCTTTCCTTTTTTCAGTGTGTAAGCAGGAATTCATTGAGTTTTGAAAGCAACATGAGTATAGGAATGCAGTTAGGGACTTATATCAGCACTGGCACAATGGATCAGAATTGTATTTTATGCAAGTGGTTGCAGCTCCCATTTGTGCTTGATTAACTCTAAACAAATACGCTATTCCATTTCTCTTATTTTCAATTCTAATATTAATTTATTTAAGACAAAACCACCTTTTCATCATATTTTTCCTTTTGTCATAAAGTAGTTTTCCTTCACCTTGAGTGCCATAGTAAGATATCAAACAAAATACATACAGCATTTCTGTCTTTTCCAGTAGTTCGTGTCCTTAAATCTTGTTTTGAGCTATTAGTCAAGAGAGCAGGACTATCATTTTAGAGTTGCTCTTTCTTCATGAAAGGGTATTTTGACAGGGTAAGCATACCTTTCAAGTGGTACCACCAAAAGTGGTAAAAGTCAGATTTCTTAAAATGGGTACTTTGCAGCTGCAGACAAAAGTTTCATTTTTGCTTCCTTGGTGCTTCTGAAAGGTGCTGCTGAAGTAAACTTGTAGAAGAGTCTGGTATTAGATACATTGCAAGTAAGCTGATAATTGCAGCCATCTGCTGTGTATGTGATGGTAGTTGAAGTTGCACACATGTATTTTAGGGAGAATTTGACCTAAGTAACTCAAATCTTTTCTTTATGTATGCTCTGTTCAACTCTTGTATTTGAACAGACAGACATGTGTTCTTTAAAGGAAAAAGGGACTATTTTGAAATCTTTTATTCTGAAAAGGATTCCAGCCTTTTTTTAACATTTCGCATCCAAGCATAGTTGTGGATTTGTAAAAGCATAAGGAATCTTAAGAATGCATCTTAACTTTTCCTCGTTCTATAATGTGCAGGAGGATTTGTGGCAAGTTTACAGTGACAGGATTTCGATTTTAATTGGACTATCTTTAGGGGTTTTTTAGCAAAACTCCACTAGTCTGTGTTTCCCTAATACAGTAAGGCTTTTTTAAAAGAATTTGAATTAAGAGGGAAATTGCTTTTCTGTGTAGCATCTGTTAGTTTTGCTGTTGTGTTTATTTTCTGTGATTATTTTCTGTATTCTCTGCTTTTCATAAACAACCTTACTGTTGTTTATGGTTTTAAATGTGAGACATCAGAATAACATGTAAAAATCCTTACAGTTTTTTACTTTCATAATTACCAGAAAACACCCTAGAAATCTTCTGTGAAATAAAATAGGAGCCACGTGCTTTGTGCTGAAAAGCAGAAATTCAGTATCCCACTCCCACTCTTTGTAGTATTGTTGATGTGCCAGTAAAGGAAGAACAGACTGACTGTTCTCTGCTTTAAAAAGAAAACCAAGCAAAACTTCTTGGCCCACACTGGGTACTTCATGTGGCCAGAGATATCTGTGATAACTGTGGCAAAGGATGGGAGTGAGAGGAAAAATGGAGGCAGGATTGTAACCAGTACCTGAGTATTGCAGAGCACATGAGCACCTCCTCTTCAGTATCTCTTCACTTTTTCTTCTTCTTCTTTTCCTTGATTACAAATTCCTTGAGGCTCAAAATAGGGACAACCAAAGAAAAACACAGAAGGCAGCAAAAATAAATCTTGTGATTTCTCATTAGGACTCTTTCTTCCATTTCATCAATAAAAGATGAGTTGTTTAAATCAATTGCACCTTTCATAGGAAAGTTAAAAAAAATAATTCAGATCTCCATTGGTATATTTTTCTCTTTCTTACAGGATTAGAATATATGTCCTTGACATGCTGTTTTCACAAATTTTTTTTGAGTAAGACTCTCCTAGGAAAGTTCTGGTTTAGATGGTCTCTTGGGTTGGATGACCTTCTAGGTTCAAGATGATGCAACTGAAGATAGTACCCATCATGTTCACCTCATCAGTTACTCCTAAGCACAACCACTGTTACTGGAGAGATTAGGAAACTGCTGTCTTTCAACCAGTTGTTTCTTTTGTCTAACATGTAGACCCCATTTTTTGCAGAACAAGGTCTCCATAAAGATGATGTTCAGCTCACAGGGCAGAACAAGTAACTTAATTCCTTGTTCTCTAGGCTGGTTATTCATTCCTTTGTTTATATTTAGCTTTCTGCTTGGATATAATTATTGCATTCCACCATCCACATGAATATTTAATAGCTTGCCTAAGCTTTTATTTAGGAATATGCAGCATATCAGTAATCATATGCATAGCTACTAGGGCAACAGTCTTGGCTTCAAAACACCACATGGATTAGATTTCTTAAGAGCCTTTCCAATGAAACATGAAAACATGTGAAAAGTTCTTCTTTTTTTTTTGTTTTTTTTTTACAAGTATTAATTCATAACACATTACTGAAAAGATTTTAAACTGAGGGTATATAGGTCCAGCAAGGGAGGGAGGATTTGCATTTTGTGGTTTCTTGGACTGTGGACCTAATTTTCATCTGAGCATTTTTTCCATGAGATTTTCTGGATTGTTCCTGTTGAGAATGCAAAACCAAACCTGATGTTCATAAAGTGCATATCTTTCTAGTTAGAAAAAAAAGCTTTTGAGTTTAATACACTACTAACAGTTCTTTCCTTAGTCACACAGGAAGAACGTTAATTCCAGTGGTGACTCCAATCATCTAGTCAAAGGAAAGTAAATATTTCTCCTGCCATGCTGTCTCCTTCCTCGCTTCCTTTTGATAGGAGCTTCCACTCCCCGGAAGCTGAATCACCCTTTCTCAGTATTTCTCTATGGGAGGTATTTCTATAGCTACCCTGGAGGTACTGACTAAATGAAGCTTTACCAACCATCTTGAAACTTGGCAGATGGTACTTGGAAATTTTAACTAAGTTTTCAAGATTCCTCCAAGTCCCAAGGCTTCCACGTACAACATATGCTGTACTCTTCAGCAGGTGCCTACCATGGGTCTGGAGGAGAAGCACCACTCTGAGATTCTGACAGACAGGGAGGGAAAAGAAAGCAAGAAAGGGAGTGTGAAAAAGAGTGTAGAAAATGTCTTCAAGCATAGTCAGATCTTGGGCTAAGTTTGCCTGTTGAATCTGAAGGTTTGAATTAGTTCATGGAACTGCAGATTTTTAAGCCCTCAGAACTTATTTTCTTGCTGTCTCACAAAGCAGTGCTATTTTATGCTTTCATTCATTGATTCTGCATCTTAAAACTGGGTGGGAGTTTGTTTTGATTTCTCTCTCCTCCTTTGCTTTCAATTTCTAAATCAGAAAAATATTCTTTATTTCTAACTCAGCTGTCACTAAAAGAGGGCTCCTTGTAAGACCTGCAGCCATTGAAAACTGACAAATTGAAAAAAGGGCATTTCGTTGAAGAAAGTGTTAAGTGGCTGCTAGTGTGGTATTTTGTGTCACATAACCCTGCAAATCTTGATATACCAAAACAAGAAAGCAAATAAAAATTTTACATCAGATGATTTCAAATAACTTGGATTACAGTTGTGCAAGGAAGTTGGAATGTACGTGCTTAATGAAGCAATAATGAAATGCTTTCAAAACCTGAACAGTTTGGAAAGACTTAGGAGTTAGACTCACCTGCTGTAGAGACAGAAAAGCTGTACTAGAGAGACCTTTCTCTGTGTACAACATCTGTCAGCCTGTGATTCACCCCTTTTACTGAACAGCTCTTTAATCATGATCCCATTTCTGTAACCTGTGGGGGGATGAGATGCATTTGTATTCTTCATTATTTGTAATTTAATCTTCTTTGTTACACAGTGACTTTCAATCTGTGATAATACACAGAGGTTCTATTGTGAGTATGCTGTGTCAAAATGCCTGGCTGTCATGAGGAGGGAGCTAAACCAGGAGGAAGGATGCAAAATGCCTGTAACTAAGTAATGCTGAATTGATGCCTAATTAATAATGGCAAAAATATTCCTTCCTGCCATTCTGTGTCTTTTTTTCTGTTTCTTATAAATCTTGTGACTCTTTATGGGTTTCAGGAGACATCGTGATGGTTAAATACAAAAGAAATGTAAATGTGTTTTTCTAGTGAGGGTAGCATAACATCATGATGGGTGACTACAGGAGAAACATAACTAAGTTTTCCAGTGGTTTTCCACTGAGAGTACTGGAAGAAAAGTAGATGAGAAAGGTGGATATAAAAAGCAAATGCTATAGACATGGCTATGGAAGTTTAGCACGTTAATTATATTTTTAAAAGTCTTTTTAAGTCTTAAAACAATAATGTAAAAACATTAATAATTATTGTTTTCATGAAGACTGGAGAAAAATGGCTT